TGTCTGTTTGTTACACGACTTACCATCCTCAGAGATATGTATAGCACTGCCATTATTGATTTAAAATTCTATAAATAAAATTATCAAAGAATTTTTATAAAGTGGGTTTTGTTAATTGATTATATCAAAAATCGTCAAAACACAACAAAAACGCCAAATAATATATAAAATTGATTAATAAATTGAACACATTTCTATTGAGAATAAATATTGTATAATAAAAAAATAATATAAACATATATTTCTTGTGTATATATGTTTTAAAAAATAAATAAACCCGTTTATAACAATAATGATTTTATTTTAAAAATTTGTTTATTTATCAATCGTTGTTTTATCGATATCCAAAACCTCTCGTTTTGTATTTGCGATAATACATAGATTGTCATCGCATAAAGTATTAATTATCAGTACGTTATTTGCTATCAATTTTTATTGTTTGAAATATCATGAATTGATTTATAATAAATTATTTTTGTAAAAAAAAATAAAAATTGTTGGATTAATTTGTTTTGTGATTTTGATAAATAAATCGACTTTTTCGATAATTTAAATGTCTGTCAAATGTTTTCATTTAAACCAAGGTTAGTCTAGTGGTAAATCAAAAAATAGAAATAGATTATTTTTTTTTGTAAAAATCAACTCCAAGAATCATCTTTCAAAAAATCCATAAATAGTATTTTTAAAAGAAAATCATGTGTTTCAAAATATACCTTTTTGATCTTAGGCAAAAAAATCCAAATTGAAAGAAATTATGTTTAAGATATTTACCATCCTCAGAAAAATTAACAATCCTCATGAATCCCTTAAATAAAATTTTTTGACAAAATTCACTCATTTACGACAAATGGATTGTTTTTCTGCTGGATTTTCGACAAATAGACGCCTTTGACTGTATTTAAATTTTTAATTAAAACCAAATGTTTTATTAACATTTATATTTGTTTTAATAAAATAATTTTATACAATCAAATGTTTTTTTGTTTTAATTAAATACTAATATTATTGATATATTATTATAAAATGAGTGTTATTAATTATAAATTAAAAATCTGAAGTAAACAAAATACTTTAAAAACAAATTAAAAGCACCAAAATGACCATTTTCTGTTCACACCAATATCATCAAATTTTGTAATATAAGGTATTCTTTCTTTTTATGACCAGGATGAAGTTCTTTGATTGAAATTAATATTAAATAAAAATATCATTTTGTGCTTTTGTATCATTAAGATCTTTTTGGTTGCGCTGTTCTTTTTTTAATCATATTGTGAAACATTTCACAATACTTGTTAGTGAGTTGTTCTTTTTGATAATTCAGTCGAACTTTCAAATGTTCTCCATTCACGGCTTTTTTAAGTGCAATATCAAGTATTTCATTAGAATTGCATTTTTGATTTGGTTGTGATTGTACATTTTGATATTTTAAAACATCTTTTTTCTCGATGGAATCACCAATGGATGGCTCTGTTTCATTATCAAGTATTTCCATATGCAATGGAAGTGTTGGGCGTACAATTGGCGCAAATTTGATGTTTTCTTGTTTGAGTTGTTCAAAACAAGGAAAATTAACATGTTTCATTTGTGAAACTGTGCTGTTTACATTTTCAACTCTTTTCATATCTGACTGTTGTTGTATATGTTGATTTAAAATGGTATTTTCATTTTTTACTGTTTCTGTTTGCACATCTTTATTTGTTAAGTGTGCAACCGTGTTTTGGAGTTTAACTTGTAAATAATGAGGCAACTGTTGATATATTTCTTGTGCTACTTTTTTGTGTTTGTTTTTGTTTTCAACTCTTTCTGCATTGGACTGTTGCTGTACTTTTGAAGCCAAAATAACATTTTCGTTATCAACGAGTTCCATATGAACATTTGAAGTTGGGCGTATAATTGGAGGAAACTTGATGTTTTCTTGTTTAACTTTGGTATAATAAGGAAACTGAGAAGCTGTACGTTGTGGACCAGTACAATTAATTTCGACTGTTTTTGCATCTAAACGAAATTGTTGTCCGTTTGTTGTTTTCAAACCACAATACATTGGTTGAATGACACTTTGTGTTTCCTTCAAAGCCTTAAAATTTCCACATTGACTCTTTTGAGTTATCCGAGTCAAATCTGCAGCCTGACAAGAACTTTGATTTAACTGTTCGTTGTGTATAGGCTGCAGACTCTGTTGTGAAATTGAAGTATTTTGTATGGATGGTAAAGTGTTACAACCAACCAAATTGTACAACGATTGTATTAAACCTGATGATGTGTTTTGATGTGTTTGGCTACTACTTTGAGTTGTATTTTGCATCACACTTTGTTGTGTATTTTGACACAATTGATCACATTGCTCACTGTTTACATTTGATTTACAGACTGTGACTTCCTGAATGGTTTCTTTCTTTGGATTGTCGAATCTTTTTGAACCAACGCATAGTGACCTTTCTTTGTTGATTTCTTTTTTCTCCTTTTCCTCTTGTTCCTTTGTAATATTGAATTCTTCTTCTGATCCGGATCTCTCATAAACTTTTACTACCTTTTCCATAGACAACAAGTTATTTGTCATTTTTACAATTTGTTCTCTTTGTTTTGTAAAACTTTCTTTTTCGATCATTGGTTGTAATGTTAGTTTAACAACGTTTTGTTTTTTGTATTTTTCTTGTATGTTTCTTTCATATTGTTTAGATGCTGGTTTGTTTTTTGAAAAACAAGAATTTTCAATGCCGAATAGTCCATTTTCACGGTTTCGAAATAATTGCGGATGTGTAACATAATAATTGTAATGAAGAATTGGGTTTATAATATGTTCTTTTTCGTACACACAGAATTTGTATATAAAGCCATTTTCGTTTTTAGTTGAATTAATAATGACATAATAACAATGTATGATATAAACAACGCATTCATACATAAGGGATTCATGAGGATTGTTAATTTTTCTGAGGATGGTAAATATCTTAAACATAATTTCTTTCAATTTGGATTTTTTTGCCTAAGATCAAAAAGGTATATTTTGAAACACATGATTTTCTTTTAAAAATACTATTTATGGATTTTTTGAAAGATGATTCTTGGAGTTGATTTTTACAAAAAAAAATAATCTATTTCTATTTTTTGATTTACCACTAGACTAACCTTGGTTTAAATGAAAACATTTGACAGACATTTAAATTATCGAAAAAGTCGATTTATTTATCAAAATCACAAAACAAATTAATCCAACAATTTTTATTTTTTTTTACAAAAATAATTTATTATAAATCAATTCATGATATTTCAAACAATAAAAATTGATAGCAAATAACGTACTGATAATTAATACTTTATGCGATGACAATCTATGTATTATCGCAAATACAAAACGAGAGGTTTTGGATATCGATAAAACAACGATTGATAAATAAACAAATTTTTAAAATAAAATCATTATTGTTATAAACGGGTTTATTTATTTTTTAAAACATATATACACAAGAAATATATGTTTATATTATTTTTTTATTATACAATATTTATTCTCAATAGAAATGTGTTCAATTTATTAATCAATTTTATATATTATTTGGCGTTTTTGTTGTGTTTTGACGATTTTTGATATAATCAATTAACAAAACCCACTTTATAAAAATTCTTTGATAATTTTATTTATAGAATTTTAAATCAATAATGGCAGTGCTATACATATCTCTGAGGATGGTAAGTCGTGTAACAAACAGACATTGTCAACACAGACTTAAACATCTAAAAAGTGAAATGACGTGTTCCCATATTCAAAAATAGTAACTTACTCAATATACATTTCAGATGGATGTAAAAGTGATAACTTTCTATTTCTGTCATCCTCAGAAAATAATTGCCATCCTCAGAACTGTAAATCTGTTTAAAACACAAGTTAATATCAAAATGAAACAATCATATTAAAATATACACAATATGATTAACTTTGTTATTACAATAAATTTGAATAATTGCATAAATTACAAAATTATTAATAAATTTGTTATTTTAAAATCACATTTTTAGAAAATCAGTGTTTTCGACTTTTTCAATTTTCATTTTGATTGAAAAACAATTATCAATTTAAACGTAAATTTCAATTATTGTGTTATAAAGACGGATTCGATAATAATATCAATAAGTATATAATCATAATATGAACAAGTTTAATTCATGTTTTGTTATTTCCCGTCTCAAGTAAGCGAGATATAATTATTGTTTTTGTTTACTGATTATTGTGGCGATTTTTTGATTGTATTTAATTTTTTGGCATTTATGACAAATTATTACCATTATTTAAAAATTGAACTTTGACTCGAAATATTAAGTGTAAATTATAACTTGAGTTATGAGAGTGGGCCTTATGGGGAACTGAACCTTATGGATTTTATTTTTGTATCCTCAGAAAAATATATTTTAATAAGGATAGTTTTAATCCTGAGGATACACCTTATCCTCAAGAAACCCTTTAACATACCCCAATTGCATTGAGGTGGTTTTCACAAATTTAAACATAGAAGTAATTAACATTAATGTTAAAACACTTAAGCTGTTCATTTGATTTTATCAATTTACAATAGCTTTATATATAGTTTTACACAAAATGAGAAAACTATTTTTGTGACTAATAATGGAACAAAACATCTTTTTGTTCATGTTTAAGGAACAAAAAAACCTTTTTTTTAACAAATTTGATATTTGTGGAAATAAAATATTTGAAGTTTTTGTTTGGAGAAAAATAATTACTAAATTATATGACAAATTTACTAAAAATTTTAGCATTTGTTATATAATAGTATAAATAGAATATCACATTGTTATACCAAAAATGTTATTTATTTTAACATTTCAATACCAGTAAGTGTATTTTTATTTTTTGAAGTTCAATTTCCAAAAAACAGTTAGTTATATAGTGTATTATTTTAACAATAGAAAAAAACTATATTTATTATACTTTTTGGGATTTTACCATACCTGTCTATGTTTAAATTTTTTGCTGCTATTTTTGTTTATATTTTAATTTCCCTAAAAATCAAAATCAAAAGATAAATATTTAAAAGGTATAATGTTTAAAGAACAACTGTATAACGAAATATTTTTAATCAAAAATCGTTTTAAATACCAGTCACATATTTTTTCATTCTAGTAGTTTTACTTACATTTGTCAAAAATGTGAGTTAAAATACAATTATTTCGACATATTCGTTCATAAGTTGAGTTTCCACGTGTATTAAAAACACTTGTTTTAATTCGTTTTATTCCTTTTGAGAGTATTTGTTGTATTACTACGTTGTTTTTATACTATTATAACTGAAATATTTTAAGTATAAAAATTAGTCAAAAAATTATTAAACGCTTTTAATTTGCTTTTAAAACCAAAAATTAACATTAGTGTATTATGGTTATCTTAATTTACTTAAATTTTAATAATAAAAACAATGAATGTTTAATTTATAGAATATTTATTAGTTATTATCCATATTAAATTAATAAAACAATTCACATTGATGTATTAGAAACACGTTGCATGTTGTTAATAATCTCGTTGATATCAATTCTTTCTTTTGGATTTTGTTTCCACGAAAGTTGAATAATGTGATAAATTCCTTCTGGTATTACTTCACATCTGTTCAGTCTTTTTCCTTCCATAACAAACTCTGCTATTTTCCATGGAAACTTGAATTCATTGATTGGATACGCTTCTTCCCATTTGAAGCACTCATACATTGTTATTGCAAATGAGAATATGTCTGCACTTTTTGTGTATTTCTGTTTCAAAAGCACTTCAGGTGCCATGTACACTGGTGTGCCAACACCTTTAGTGAACGTCATGTTGGTCATCAACAAGTTCACATTTCTTGCACTTCCAAAATCAGTCAATTTAGCATTCACTTTATCATTTAAATCCAATGAAAACACTAATATGTTGTCTGGCTTGATGTCTCTGTGTAATATCCCATTTGAGTATAAATAACTTATCCCATTTGCTGCATCTATCATCATTTTTATTTTAAGTTTAATACAAACATCTGAACTTGGTTTATGATTCGTTAAGTCTTGTAAAGACCCAAATGGTGCAAATTCAGTCACCATACATACTTTGTTTGGAATAAATACGGCGCCATAGAAATGGACAATATACTCACTTCTAAATTTGTCCAACATTGTAACTTCTTTTTCAAAAGATGACAATAACGAGTTTCCAACCATTTCTTTCAATTTTTTAATAGCAACTTCGTTTCCTCTGTAAGTTCCTTTGTAAACAATACCAAAACCACCTTCACCAAGCTTTTTGTCTTCATTTAATTCTTCATAATCCAATTTTGTTGATATCTGAGTTATAGCAACCAAATTAATTTGAGTTTCTGCAGTGATTCCACTTTTAAAATTCACAGAAAACAATGTGATTTTATCTTTAATTTTGCACGAACATTTTGGTTTTATAAACATTTCAAATTCGACTGCTTTGTTCTTTTTTAAAGTAATTACAAGAGGTTCAGTTCGAATAGTATATTTCTCTGTGTTGTTTTTAGTAGAAAATTGCACTTTTATTGTGTTCTTTCCGAAATTTCCAACACATAATAACTCGCGCGACTCTTTGTCGACTGGAATCGTTTCCTCGTAGTTTTTTCCTTCAAATTCAATTTCATTTTTGTTCACAAAAACATCAGAAATCGAAGTTTTGGTGAAATGAATGTTCGACTTTCTGACATCGAAAATGCACGTCTTTTGTTGCACCTTTTTAATTTGATAGTGGCGATTAATTTGAATTAAAATAAAGAGTACAATGAACAAGACAAGAGTGATAATAATGAGAACAAATATCACAACAATCAATATCACCCACCACACCACTTTTGTTTGGCAAGACGTGTTCGAGTAATTTGGTGTGTGCCAAAAAGTGCATTTCGTGCATTTAGAGTTTGTCACTTCAACACAATTTTCAATTGAACTTTTCGAGTAACATTTGGAATCTATCAAGATATAATCTTCTACACAGGAAGTGCATATTCCAGTTGTTCCACAAGTGGAACAATTAAAAGTTGTTGAGTTACAGGAGACACAAAACTGATTTTGTTGGTAAAAACCAGTTGAACATTTTAAACATCCACTTTGACTTTTAAATTCGCAATTTACAAGTAAATCATATGAGATACACTGTGTGTTGTTTGTGAGTAAAAAGTAATTTGTAAAACAACTTAAACATGTTTTTTCAGTGTTGCACTCATTACAATTTTCTATACAATTTTTGCACTGGCCATATTCGTCTCTGTAAAATCCAATATCACATAAAGCGCACAGAGATTGTGAAGGGACAAGTTTCTTGCAATTGGTGATGACTTCTGAATTAGAAAAACACTTTCCATCCGACAAAAAGTAATTTTTGTTGCAAGTAAGACACAAAATCTTGTTGTAACAATCCATACAATTTTCAGAACAAATTTCACATTGATAATTTGATAAGAAATAGCCCGTTATACAGCTGATACATCGGTCTTTTTCAACATTCATTCGATCACAATTATCTTCTTGATTTGTCAATGGGAAACATGTAGATGTGTTATTATAAACAGTATTGTTTTCACATAATAAACAATTATCAAATTTAGTTGAAATTGAACAATTGATATTTGAAGTGCACACTCCACTTTCATTAATATATTTATTGACTTGTTGACACCCACTACAAAAAGTATTTGAGCTTTGAATACAACCACTTTGGGTCATTTTAATGCATTTTCCTTTATTATTAATAACTCCATTTAATGTACATTTAAGACAATCGTGTGTATCACAAAGGGAACACATTTCACCATATTTATTTGAACAATTTTGACAAGTATTTTCTCTATTGTAATAACCATTTTCACATATAATTAAATTGTCGTTGTTTGAAAGAATAACTCCATTTAGTGGAGTGCAAACTCCATTGTTCAATAAACTTTTGTTATCACATATTATACAAGAACTTTCGTTATTACAATTAATACAATTTTCACCACAATTTTCACACTTATTCGATTTAATAAAATATCCAATTGCGCATTTGATTGTTTTACCTGATATTATTAGTAATGAATTATTATCATAAAATAATACATTTTCACAGTTTCCATAAACGTCGACAATATACTCTTTATCACATAAAACACATTTTCCTTTGACGCAATGAAGACAATTAGTCGGACAAGTTAACATTGATATTTATCAACTTCGCTTCCAGTTTCACAAGCTTCACAAACAGCCAATGTTTGTTTTTTGAATATTGTTGTACATTTAGTATCTATAACTTCGCAATTTCCACTTGATAGATATGAGTCATTTTTACATAAATGACAACTTCCATCTTCTAACTTGGAATAAAAGAGCAAACATTGATTTGTTTCATTGAATGACACCATTTTATAAGCATCAGTTGTTTTTCTCATCTCCTTTTTTGATAATTTTGTTGGAGTGGTAAACCCAAATTTAGAACCTAAAATCCATTTCTTACTCATTTGTGAAATTTCAATGTTTTCACAATTTTTTGAAGAGTTGTTAATATAAATCACGTTTTCATTTTGGTCTTTAAATTTAGAAGTAAAAGTGTATTTTTTAATAAAATCAAGTTGCGTTGTGTTTTGCATAAATATTCCATTAAAATCAATGTTTTGTTCGAGTTTTATGTTTTGAATTACAATTGTTGAATTAACAGAAGAAAGTGGGCAGTGTAGGACTTGACTGTCATAACTGTTGTAATCATCAAAGTTTCCACTAATATAAGTACATGTAACGGTTGTATCAACATTGTTAGAGTTTAAATAAGATCGATATAATTTCCCACCAAGTAAATTATTAAACAAAAGTGTTGAAGATGAATTTTGAACTTCTTGAAATGAAATCAAATTGATATAATTGTCTTGGTAATTGTTAAAATTGACTTTTATATATATTGTGTCTGATATAAGTATACCACCTTTATGAATTTGAATAAGACTCGTTTTATCCCCAATTGTTGTCATATTATTGAGATTTATTGTGACACCTTCACCAATTGTTAAAGATTATTTTGAAGTCATTTTAATATACCCATTCGTGTAAAACTCGATTGATGAAGTAATTTTAAGTGGTACATTAAAAGTGGCACATTTGTGCAGTAGAAGTGTTTTTGTTGTAACGTTTGAAGTGGAAGTGACATTCACATCTTTAACATTAATCTCAATTCTGTTCCAAGTTTGTGGAGTTGAAATTTCATTCATTTGTGATGAGAGAATTTGAAGAGTCAAAGTATTTTGTGTGTTGTTGTTAAAGCAGTCCCCTCGATTCACTCCATCATACCCTTTTGGATCCCATATACCATTTTCAGTGTAATTACATAGACACATGTTATATTCACTTTTAGTTAAATACACTCGTTTCCCACATTTAGACAAAAGTGACGTCTTAACTTCAGAAAAATCTCCATCCAAAGCAAACAATATTTTGTTTGTTAAATTTGTTTCAGATATTATTATTTGTGTGTTAATTACGAGATTTTTTTTGAAGTAAAATTTCCCAATTGAAGTGATTTTCAAAGTTGATATATTACAATTTAAATTAAATATAATATTTTCATTTTCTAATATTTCTAAAGTGTCAAAATTAATTGTATTCTCGTGGGTTTCTAAACCATTTAATATGTATTTTCTATTGGGTTTAAATATTATTGAGAACCATTGAGTAACATTTACATAAATGTTAATATTTTCACTTTCACTTTTATTCTCGCCAATCGTTGTTAAATTTAAATCAAATAATGAACTGTTGTATCTACAATCCGGGAATGTATTTACATTATCCAATGTTATATTTTCATTCTCTGCATTACAATAACAAGTCGTATTAATTAAATTTGCGTATACATTAATTTCTGTTTTACCAAAATATAAAATTCTGTTATACCCATTTCGTTCACATACCGATCTTACATAAAAAACTGTTTTTAAAGATTCAAATGTCACATTTTCTTCTTTTGATTTTCCAGTAAATAAATATCTCCCATTAGTATATGGATCACCAACTAACTGAGATGTTTTAAATTGAAAAGTGACGGATTGTATCACGTTACCATCAATGAACAAATAAGCTATTTGTGTTATTGTTCTATAAAACTCAATCCAGAATCTTTGGTCAATATCTGAAAATAATACAATGCTTTGACTTTTTAACTGAATTGTTGGTCTCCATTTTTCGCCAATTGTTGTCCGACAAGAGTTTTCATTATTAAAACAACCAAAGGAAATAAAAAAATTTTCTGGTCGACCGCTGTCTACAAAATAAATTCTAACATTTTCATTTTTTTCTTGAATATATAATGCTTTTAAATTATTTGAATTTTGAAATGAAAATAATAAAATTGTATATTCATCCGTTTCGTTATCACGTAAAATCATTGTTTGAATAGAACAACACGTTTCTCTAAATGTAAAATTGTAATAATCATTATCGTCATCATCGTAATAATATTTTACTGTCCAACCACTTTTTTTACATGAATTTTTATTTTTGTCCAAACTAATTACTCCATTCTCTTCGCACCAAGAAATTGAATAACCAATAGACATGAAAAACAGTATAAAACATGACAACGTATTCTTCATTGTAATATAAAATAATATATTAAAGTACTTTTCAAAACAATAATAAAAAACAGACAAATATCTTTCATTGCTAATCAGAATAATTGTTTTTTGATAAAACAATGTTAAGTGTTTTGATATTTTAATAACTGAAAATATGTATTAAATATTAACAGTAATTTTAGAACTATAGTTTTAAATAATATTCAACAATAAAAATTTAACAAATTGTGTTTGTGGGTAAAAAATTATATTTAAAAAATACAATGAAAATATTGAAATGTTATTATTGATGTTTTTAAACATTTAGTATATTTTTGGGTATCATTTAAATTTTGATAATAAATTTAAATAACTTGAAATATACAACAATTTTATCAATATATTATTTTGATATATAAATATAAAATTTTTAATTTATTGTTATTATTAAAAATGTTTACAAAAAAATAAATAACATTTAAATAATTAGGAACAAATAAAATATACTATTGTTATAAATGTTATATTTTAAAAAAACATTTCAAATTGAAGAATTGTTTTAAATGTTTTCAAAAGTGTTAATTATTTGTAATTTATGTTTAAAGAAAAGTTATTCTAAAAACCTTACAACTATGACGTGTCAGTGCATCTTTGTTTATAGTATAATTATAATAAAACAATTATATGTTTATATGAATCAAAACAAGAAAACATAAACAAATTAATTTAAAACTATACTTCAATTAAAATACAATAACAAAACTATAACGATAGTTACACAATCCTTCACAATCGGTTTTTTGTTGAACCATGTAATTAAATTAATTATTTAATTATAGGGGCGTGACAAAAAATATTTTTTTATGTTCAATTTTTTAGCTTTGATTTTTTGGTCGTTAAGGCAGATCTTTTAAAAAAATCTCGAGATTTTGTAGATCGAAATTAGTTGTAAAAAAAACAATTAAAGCAAAGTATGTTTTTGGGTTAAAAACGGGCAAACATCAAATATTTTGTTAACGGTTGCCCACCCTAATAAAAACGTTATTATCACAATCACCTTCATAAGGTTAACCGATTAAAATAAACGAGACGCAAAAAAAGAGTTAAAAAAAATAAAATTGAAATTTTGGTTATTGTTTTTGTTTAGATAAAATGTGTAAAAATATTTTGAGATTTTTTTAAATTAAATAACTCACAATTCTTTTGCAAACACATTGTAATAAGTTTTTTCTACTCATTACCAGTGTTTGGGAAAAAAGTGGTCGATTATGTTTCAGATCTAAAGCTAAAATCGTATTAGAATAGTTGTAAAAACCTGGTGTCTGATCTCTCGCTGTTATGTGAAAACTGCTGAAAGATGCCTTTTTATACAATAGCAAATTTATATGTAAATTATTTTTAGATTTTTTTCTCATTTTTATATTTATAGAAAAAAAAACGCAATTTTTTGAATCTCGTGCATTTTGCAAAAGAAAAAAAATACCATTGGCCGGTTAAGCAAAGAATTAATACATTTCATACACAGAGAAAGTGGATATTATTACAAAAAAAACAATAATAAATAGTTTTTATCATAATGTACCATAATTAAAGAGTAATGAAAGGGTATTTTTTGGATTTCAATTATCTCAAATATTTTATTTTTCAAAAAACTATGTGTGTTGAAGTAATGCAAAGGCATTACTTCAACTTCCTCGGCGTAGTCCTAGATTTCAACTTGACCAGTTGTGCAAATTGCTTATATTACTGGTCTGCAACATACAAATTGTACTTTGGACACATTGCCAACTTTTTTTTGGGACAACACCATTGTATCAAATAACATGTGGTAACAACACTGCAACACGTCGATTATATGGAAAATGGAAAGCGGCTCCTATTTTGTGAACCATTGAGTGAACAATCTCAAGGAACGCGAAAACAATGGCCATGCCAATGGTAGCTGCATTGTGTATCTTTTATATTGCAACAAAACCCCGTTGAATAATGACCAAGTTGTCAAGACTAATTTGACTTCTTCTTTAGCATGACCATCTTTGTACTCATTTGCCATAACTGGGAAATAAGCTACAACCACATGAACCAACAAATCGATACCACAGTCTGCCAGAGCTCTTTTTGTTTATGAAGCACAGAACATTGGGTCGATGATAGCAACTGATGGAATCAATGAATAATCTGCAAGTGGGCACTTCTTGTTAGTCTCAAATTTTGAGGTGACAACAAATCGAGTGAATTCAGATGCCATGCCAGTAGTCAAGGATCTCATGAAACAAATTTGTGAGAAAGATGGCAAGAGTGTACACTGAAGAATTCAAGTTTGGTAAGAACTAGATTTTCTTCAAGATTTGTGTTCTTGCTGAGATTGAAGAGATTAGAGAAAACAGAATCACTGAAATTGTTGGTGGTCTTCATGTGTGTGCAAAAACCATCGCACAAAGAAAGCTTATTGAGCAGAAACACAATGAACAGATTGCTATTATTGTCATTTAAGACACCATCCACACTTGGTACCAATTCAGAAATTGGGTCTGGTTTAGATTGTTCCAAAAGGTCCGACCAACACTTAAGAGAAGAAGATTTGATGAGTGTTAACTCGCAACTAAGGACAAAAAAATTGAAGCTTTTAAGAAGAAGCTTGCTGAAGAAATTGCAAAGAGAGAAGCCGCTGAAAAGGCACTCGCTGAGATGAAAATCAAGAAGGTCGACTTGGAAGCTTTGGTCCAAAAGCTCAAAGACGAAATTGAAGAACTTAAAGAAGATATTGAGTCGAAGAAGATAGCACTTGATGAGGCTGATATAAAGTCACGAGAAGACCAAGAACACATTGAAGAACTCCAAGGTGATATTAAGAGAGGAAAGGAAGACTTGAGCAAGTTAACCACTGAGTACAAGAAACTTGAAGCTGATAAGCAAAGACTTTAAGATGGAATTACTGAACATAAAGTGACTATTGTTAAGAAGGATAGTGTCATCACTGAGTTGAACAAAAACATTGAAGATAAGGAAGGCGAAATTTCTGACTTAAAGAAGAAACTTGAAGCTAAAGAAGACAATTCAAAGGATCTTGAGACACAATTACGCGTGAAGGAAGACAACATTGCTGATTTGGAGAAACACGTCAAGATGTTGCAAAACACAATTTCTGATGTCAACGCACAGAATGAAGACACTGGCTCTGTTTGAATGATCTTGCCAATACCAATAATAATTTGAATAAGACTCAATTGGCTCTTGACGATGCTGAGAAGAAACTCGACCAACAAGTTGCTCCGAACAAGAATGTCTCAGACGATAGAGATGGGTATAACCAACAATTGCAAGCAGAGAAGACCAAGACCACTGCTTTGACCTCAGCAAGAATGCAGATGATAAGAATATTTTTGCTTTGAACTCAGAGAAAAACGAATTACAAGATAAAAATAGAAAATTTGTTGAGTTGACAAAGAGAATTGAAGACGGTCTGAATGACTCTGATATGTTGAAAGCACAGAAGGCCGACTACGAAAAATCCAAGTTTTGAAAAATGATATGGAGAAGACTGAAAAGGACTTGGCTGGTGCTAAATCGAATATGCACCAAAAAGACGTTGAAAGCAATAACTTGAACGAACAACTTGCCTAAACTGCTGATAACGAAGACAAGCTTGAAATTGATGCCAAGAACACGAATAAAAAAAGATGCTTAAAAGAAGCAACTGACTCAATTGAAAGCTGACAATGACAATTTGACTAAAGCCAAATCTGTTGTCGATGCCAAATTGAAAGACGATGAAAGAGAAAAAGCTGCTCTTAACGAAGAAGTTGAAAGCAGAAAACAATGAAATTAAAGAGAAGGTGAAGAATTTGGCGAATGACAGAGACCAACTTTCTTCTGAAAAGAAGAAGCTTCAAGACAAATATGACCAACTCAATAACTTAGTCTCTGGACACGAAGATGAGACCAACAACTTGAATGGTTCAATCAAAAAGTTACAAAGAGACTTAGAAGCAAACAACACTGAGTTGACTGAATTGAGAGACAGAACGGCTAAAGACAAGAAGAAAATAGTAGATTTGGAACAAAAAGTGCAAGACCTTGAAGATAGACAAGTTGGGACTTCAAATATCGACCAAACTGAGGTCATCAAGAGAGACAACCAAATTGCTGATTTGGAAAAGGCAGTTGCTGCGTTGAAAGATCAGAACACTCAACTTGATGCTGTTAAAAAGGATATAAAAAGTGGTCAATTGAAGACGCTTTGAATATTGAGAATAATGAATCACAGATTAATGCACTTGAAGCACAAAAGAAGATGGCTTTGGACGACAAAGCAGAGGCTGAGAAGACTGCCGCGGACCAATCTGATAAAAGAAAGAAGATGGAAGACTAAGTTAAAGCACTCAATGCACAAGTCTCATCACTTAAAGTCCAAGTCAGTGCACCAGCTTCTGTTGCTCAAGAAGAAGAGAAGAACATGTTGAATGCAAGATTTTCAAGCCCAATTAGATGAAGAAAGACAGAAGGCTTATAGTGCAGATGCTGCAAGAAAGGCTTCTGAGAGCAAATTGCAGAAAGTCCAATTCAACTTAGATGAAGCAAATAACACTAAAGAGAAGCCGAACTAAAAAGTGAATAAATTGACAGTACAAGTTGATCAACTCACCGACGAGAAGAAGAAGAAGAATGAAAAGGATTTGGAGGAAATGGACAAAATGATCAACGACTTGAATGCCGAAGTTGACAAGGCACACAAACAACTTGACACTGCAAATGATGACAGAGATGGCAATGAAACAATGAAACAGAAATACAAAGACGAACTGATGAGTGTTAGAACTGAACTTGATCAAGAATAAAAAGACCATGCCAAGACCCAATCGATTAAAGGAAAGTACAAGAAGGATATCGCTGAAATCACAGTCAGAGCTGAAACCCTTGAGAAGAACGTCCAGATGGTTGAACAAGGTCAAGACTATGAGAAATTAAAAGGCCGCTTCAGAAGAATTGATGAGAACAAAGACGGAACTCGACGAGAAACAAGACGAATGCGACAAACTTGAAGATGATATGTCTGAGATGAAGACTAAATTGGAAGCTCTTGAACAAGCTGCTAAGACTTATAAACAGTCGAAGAACACCTATGAGAAGAAATTGACTGAGTTGAATGAGCAACTTGGTCTTTAAAGAATAACTGCCCAATAGACTAAAACCCAGAAGAAGAAATATGCAGACAAACTCAGAGAAGTGATGGAGAACGAAAACGAATTTGGTGAATATAAGGAACAAGCTGAGAAGTCTATCAACTCGTTGACTGCTCAAAAGGCTGATTTACAGAAGGAACTTGAGAAAGAAAGAGCAATGAAACAAGAGGCTGATAAAGAAACTCAAAAACTTAGAGCTAAAGTCACTGATTCAGAAGCTAAATTGGCAGACGCTAGTGCTACTGGAGCTTCTTTTGCTAAATTGAAAGCGAAATATGAAACAGAATTGGAAGGAATCGAAACAGAAAAGGAAGAAGCACAAAACGCAGCTGATAAAGCTAAGAAACAAGCTAAACAGTATGCCAGAAATGTTGAAGAGGCCGAGAGAAAGCTTGCAGAATTTGAACAGAAAGAGTCTACTTTCAACACTCAAATTGGTAAGACACAAGCAGATATGAAGAAGACACAACAATCAGTCAGAGACGGCCAATTGAGAATTGTTGAGTTGGAAGACATATCAGAAAATTTGGTGAAGATCTGAACAACAAACAACTTGAAATTGATCGGGTGAGTGCAATTACTTTTGAAGACCAAGAACAATTCGATTCAAGTAAAACACGAAAAGACAAGGATAAATAATTATTATATTTTTGTTATAATTTTTATTAATTAAAATCTAGTTTAAATACAAGAGTATAGTTATTTAAAATATGATATTTTTATTATTTTTTATAGTTTAATTTCAACTAGATGCCTCGAGTCTCTGAAAGATGCCTTTTCAAATAATTTTCATTGAGTGATGGAGATATCCAATGACAAAAAAGATTGTGATGTTTTATTTTTAATAAGGAATTAGAGTTTTTATCACAAATTCATACAAATTGATAAAGTCATATTTACTTTATCAGTAGAACCCAAAAATACATTAAAAAGTAGTGATTCATCTTAACAACATCACTGATGTTTTTATTTATTTAAAATAGTCAATTTACTATATATATATACTGTCAATTGTAATATTCTAATTATGTGATAAAGTCTATTGATCTTTTCTTAGTTTGTTGTTTCAAAAAATAAATTGTGTTAACAAACTATTAAATTATAATTAATTATATCAACATTTGTGCTATTTGTTTTTAGATGAAAAATATTTATTATAATTTGATTTTAATATAATCATATAATTTGTAGTTTGAGAAAACCCATAATAAATAAAAATACCAAACTACTTTTCTATTAATATACTTCAAAAAGATACAACGGGACACAAAGAGTAGATATGCCGCAACTGTCGGAACTTGTTGTTCCGGCGAGTTGCGGCGTCGTGAATCCATCTCCGGAAGATACTAGACATAAAAGAGGAGATGCCTGAAAAATAAACATTTAAGATATCCTAATCGAGTGTTCGTTCCAGTGTTAGGTTTGAAGGGTAAAATCCATTTTCTTTCTGTCTGTCCTGCCCTTCAAAAAGGACAGATTTTGTTAAAACTGTGTACATTAATTCAAGTTGTGGTGACTTGGAAAATTACAAATATGACATTTATGGAGTCAACGTGTTGCAAAATTTGAATTAAAATAAAGGTGACAAAAAATCATTTAAGTTGGTAGACAACAACACTCTTTGGAGTAAAATTGTAATTATCAGTCAACTCGTTTTGTTTAAAGGTGAAAGTTTTTGCAATGACTTTCATCAATGCCATTTTTGTACACATACATATCATCATAACCAAATGAAAATAGACATGAATAGTTTTGAGAAAATAGCCAAAATTCAAAATTCGTGTTATTTCCACTCTTACCAAACTTTTTTGGATTCAAAGTGCCACTTCTCACAAGTGAAAAAATGTAAGAACTGCCGCTGTTGATATATTTGTCAACTGCATTGATATTTCCAGTGTACACGCCATTAAACTTGTTGTGATTTGTGTCTTCCACCAAAAAGCACAAGTTGCTTTTGTTCATTACTTTTTTATCAAAAACTGAGGTTCCTGTTGACCAGTCGTCTTTGTTAGAGTCAAACACAACACTTGCAATCTTCATTCCTGTCAACTTCTCAAGACTAGCTTTCTTTTTCTCTTCTTCTTCATCGTGTTGTTTCTTTGAATTGATGTATTTTTCCGATTTCATAATTTGATCAATTTTATTGTTTTTTGCTTGTCTGATTCTGTCTATTTCATCTTCATGTGGTTTTGTGTCCATTTGGCACTTCTCCTCGTAAAGTGCAAAATTTACATTATATATCTCATACGACTTATCATTGTCACTCTGTATTGAATATAGACTTATATCACTTTTGATTTTGTTTGACGCGTTATCCAAATCGGTGACGATTGTGTTGAGTGAAGTTGTGATGTTCTTCTTTCTATCAAACACCTCATCAAGTCTGTCGAAGTGTCCCTCTGCATTTTCAATGCGTTGATCAATGTCGAGTGACTTGTCGTCAACAAAGTTGTATTCCTTTTTAGAATTGATGAGGTCTGACACCGCCTTTGCTGCGTTAGTGCAGAGTGTTGAGAGTGCAATTAACTCGTTTTCCATGTATGTTAATAGAGTTTTTATATTTAATTTTATAAATCTCATTTAAAATGATCATTATTTCATTCAAAATGATTTTTTTCCAATCAAAAACAAAAAACAAAAATATTCAAACTTATATAATATGATTTTAATTGAGATAAAAGATATTCAAAATTTGTAATTAAACCCAAAATCACGGAATTGCAGGATGAAAAATAATTACTTGACAAAGAATTAATTGATTGAAAGAAAAAATGATTAACCAAAATGCCCAAATAATGATTTTTATTAGTTTTTTAGGTTTATTTTTTCAGGGAATTACCACTCATTCTATTTTTATAATTAGAAATTAGTTGACAAAGACTAAAAACAGCGTTTTATTTTTTCCAAAAACAAAAATGAAACTGAACTCAATTATAAAACGTCTCTTCGAATGGTTCAGTTCTGGATCTCCTCCAATTCTCAAATTGTGAGTGCGAAGGCTCAAATCTCTGTTGAAGCGCGTCAACAGGACCGCCATAGACTTGGTGATCTCCATGGTATAATACATGGAAGTTGTCACAAATACTGGGCAATTTGAGTTTTTAAAATGGAAATGGATTGCTCCAAGTTACCTGAAAATTCGATTTGTTGGGTTAAATGGTTGATATGCCTGACAAAAACCGAAGTTTCTGGTGCTCTCTTTCTCTCTCTTTTTAAATCAGATATCGAAACAGTCTCAATTTCATTGTGTGGAGCAGAGAGTCTTCTGGCTATTACCACATTTGAAAACACATTGGCTTGGAAAAACGCACTAAACTCTTCAACAAGACGACTGGCAGATTTGATGTCAACATAAAAAACAAATCTGTTGTTGGTCAATCTTGAAACCATACCTGCTCGGCGAAAAGACGCAATTACAACTTCATGTGATGCAGAGGTATCCAAAGAGTTGAGAATTTTGGATAACGAGTTTTTGAGGCGTTGATCAGAAGCTGCTCTTGTGTTTGAGTCTTTGGTGGCGTCATTTGAAATAATGTTGTCTGCAGAAATTGCACTGACCAACTCTTTCATCGCTCCTGTTACGTCAAGTGTACTTTTTAATACTTTCTTCCCAACAACTCCTTCTACAATATTTCCCATCTCTTTAGTGGTGATTGGTTTGGTGGTGTTTTGTCTTTCTCGAATTGTTTCCAACAACAACGGCATTCTCGATTGATTAATTTCTCGTTTTCTTCCAGACTTCCCTTCGACATCGTCATACAAGTTGTTGAGGCGGGCCGTCGAGGGTGAGACACCCAAAACTTTGGCTTTTGTTTTAATTAAAACCTTTTCAAGCCAATTTTCACTTCTCAACAATTTCATTTGTTGTTGGAGTGTTTGGCATTCCATTGTTTCTGTTGCATGGGTTTCACAGAAATCTAATAAATCACGGGCACAACTTTATTTTGTGTTGTTGTGCAACACGCTCAAATTATTTTTTTTGAAGCGGGTTTTTTCTGTGGTTTGGACATGAATATTGAGTTCTGAAACCAGCTGTATTTATCATTTTTATTTTAATTAATGGTTAATTTTATTAATAATTATGATATGAATTGTTTCAAAAAATTGTCTTTATTATTCCCCAATAATTTGACATCTAATCGCAATATATTTTTTAAAATTTGGGTGATTTCCCGTTTCGTTATGTAACAATTGACTCTTTATTTTCTATTTTTCATGTTATTAAAAAAATAAATTTAAAAAACAATTGTGTGACCATAACTTTGATACTCGTGATTGTGTATAGTTTGCTTCAATACAAATGTCGTTTATAATAAAGAGGAGTACTCAAATTTAACTATAATATAATTTTTCAATTTCGTTTCTTATTTTACTCAAAAAATGAAAGGGGGTGAAAAAAAGCACTTTCATTTTCTTTTTTTAATAAACAACAATGATTATGTATAATGTAACACCTATAATGTTCAATAAACAGCTCTTAATGTTATACAATTGAAAAATAATTGTCATACTGTCAACGATCGTTTTTATGTTAGTCATTGTTTGTGTTCTATTTTTCGAACATGGTGAAAAAAGCACTTTTATTCATTCATTCAGAAACTATATTAACTATATTGAACTATACTTGTTTTTTGAATTACAAAAAAAAACATTTTTCGATTCTAAATTGAAAATGTTATACATTTTATAAAATCAACACATAAAAATGTTGAGATTGAGAAGAAAACTATTTGTTTCAAAAATACACTCCTTTGTTAAAAATAGTTTTATTTGCTCAAAAACATATTTTCAATATTATTTCAAAAATGCGAAGAAATTTGTAACTTTTTTTGAAATACAAACATAAACCGAACCTTTATTTAATCAACAACCTTTTTTACCATGACTATAATATTAAATAGACATCATTTTTAAAAAAAAATTAAACGGATACTTTTAATTGTATTTCAATCGTATCAATTATTTCATACAAGAATAATATTTAAAATTAAGAATTGTATATTTTCATATTTCTTTTAAGCTTTAATTATTTACTGTTATTAATTATCCAAATTTTTATAAATTTAAATATTATAAAAATGTTTATGTTTTGTCATCGTAATAAATAAAAGATTTATTGACAAATATCTTTATACAATTATATATTAAAGAATACATAACAATTCGAAGATATAAAATATATAATGTTTTATATATAACTTCATTAATTATTAAATCAATACATAATAATATACATAAATTTTATTTAAGAATTGGTTTTTTTAAAAATAAATAAATTGCACATAATATTTTGATATTTTAATATATTTTGTTATTTAATTAAATATTGTAATCTATTAACAAATTCACCTAATGTTCATACATAATATTATAAATTATATTAAATTTATTTTGAATATAAATAATTCTATTGTTTATTTTTCGTTATGGAAATTAAAGTTTTAATTTATAGTTTTGTGTTTGAAAACTTATAAACTAACCAATGAATTATTTACTGAATATATTATGTATTTTGTTTCACTCAACAAAAAATTATTATTTATTATAAAAATTTATATTACAAATTTCATTAAAATAATAAATTTATAATTAAATATTTAAGTTGACGGAATTAAATAATATAGTTTAATTTTTTAATTTTATTACAATTAATATAAAATATTTATGAAATTTACTTTAAAATATTTGTTATAAACATTAAAAATAAACTAAATTTATGTAATTAAAAACACACAAAAATAAATACCATCTCGTGGTTATAAATTGTGTTATTACTCTGAAATTGACTGAATAGATAAGTCAAGCTTTATTGAAAATGAAAAGTGTAGCGAAACATTAATTCCGTCTTTAAAACACACCCAAAACACATCAAGTCAATTCCCTAACGGCAAAAGACGCAAGTGTCAAAACTCAGTGTTAAAAGGGTTTTATGAAAGTGCATTATCATTCGTTGTTTGTAAATGTAAACTTAATCAATTTACCAACAATAAATTTGCTCGATTACCTAGTGAAAATAAAATTCAAGCCTGCACGTATAATCGACAAACTTAATTCTGAACACGTGTCAAAAATACCAAAAATCATAAGAAACCAATGAACAAGAAAAAACGAATTGAAAAGTTAAATGTTATTTGGACAATAATATGTGTCTTTTAATTGAATTGTTACATATTTGTTTGTATGAATCCCAATTTAGAATTAATATATTTAAATAATTCCCAAAGATGGATTCTTTGTTTTCATACTATTTTTACATTTTTACATTGTTTTTCATTTTTTGTGTTTGATATAACAATTATTATTTTACAAAATGTTATTTAAAAACAATTTTGAATAACAATTTTCTGCTCCCTTGTTCTATAATTGTCACTTGCAAAAGCCAAAATAATAATTTATGGTCCGTTAAAAAACGTGTATAAAATTGCCACAAAAAAAAACAGAAAAAAAAATAACACAGAAAAACGGAATTGTGCCGACCCATGTTGTTTTTTTTTGATGGCGTTGCATTTGTCTACTTGAGTTTTGTCTTTTTTTCTGAAAAAACTTTTAAGAAAACCCGCTTTTTTTAATCAATTTCCCACAAAAAAAGTTGATTCATTTGACTTGCTAAGATTAAATTACATTTAAAAACAACGCAGGTACTTCAGTTGAATTAAAAAATCAATTATTAATTTTTTAAACCTCTATTAAAAAAACTATAAAAAATAATTATGTAAAACAATTCAAATTGTTGTGTTGTATTTTATTCCTCTTTGCAAATTTCATGTTATAAAAATATTCATTTGAAAACATTTAACTCGTCGCTTATCTTAAATAAAAAATATAATTATAGATAAACATGTTTCAACTATGAAAAGATATATGTTTGCTCTTCTTCTTGTAACTTTGGCTACAGCAAAATACGCTGTTGTTTCTCACGATGATGGATCTTCTGCGGTATACAAATTTGGTCAATGCTACTATTTGTTGTTAGATACATACATAAAAATAGAAGAAAGTGGTGACAAAGTTAAAGTATACACGTCTAATAAATGTGGAGATTGGAAAAACAAGGCAGCTCCGAAATTGTAGGGTATAAGAGCCAAAGTGACTTGCCAGACTATTATTTTGTTGGATATTCATATTCTGATGCCAATGATTGTGAATTAAGTGAAAGTAAAGGTCATCCCCTCGAAGTGTTATATAAACAGTGCACTAAATCATCAGTATCTTCTTTCTCTGTAAAGGCTGAAATAAAAGACAAAAAGATTACATTAACAAATTATAAGACTGAAGACTGCACTGGAGCTGCTGATACTACCACAGAACCCAAAGTCTTTGAACTCGAAAAATGCATACATATTGATGGTTCAAACCGCATGTTTTCGGAAGGTGCATTTGAAGTCTTTGCGTTCCTTGGTCTTTTCATTGTTTTCTTGTTTTAAATTTTAAAACATTTTGCTTTGAATATTTGTTGTTTTTTTTAAATGTTAACACGAATTTGTGAAACATGCTAAAATATTTGATTTATTATCATAAAAATAGAATTATTGGTTGTCATAGCAAAAGTGGTTGTCATGAAAACAATATTATCAAAAACAAAAAATCTTTTTTTTCAAAAATTCTTCCAGTGTTATGAGTAAGTCTATTATCAAATGAAATCGTAAATATTAATTAATTTGTTTTATGATATTATATAAGGCATTAAACGAATGTAAATATTAACATTTTTAAATTTTAAACAATAATAAAAAGTGTGTATTTGAAAAAGTCTTATTAAAGGATGTATTCTTGTGTTTTTTAATGAATTCCACAACAGTAAAAGATATAGACAATAAAGACAATAAAAACAACAATCAACACAAAAGTTTGGTTAATTTGAACACAATAACAGCTTTCATAACGAAATGTCATATTTGTTATATAGCGTCATATTAAACGTTGTTTATCAATGAATGCCAAACGATTAATTATTCACTTTCAACGTTATAAATATACAAACCTGATAATCGTGATTATTGTTTGTTTGATTTGCACATCCATAACATCAGTTCATTTTATATCGTGACGACAAGATACATTCATTTTTGATTGTGAAGATAAGTAAAATCTTTTTGTTGTTTTTCTGTTTATTGTTATAAAAATAGTCTTTTTTGAAATTTTTATTTTATTGACAACCACTTTCACTGAAAAAAAAATCAAACTACCACAGGCTTCCCGTAAATTTACTTGTTAAACAACTAAAAAATTATGGTTATTTAAATATATATTTATAATAATACTTTTTAATATTCATGACAACCACTTTTTCTTGCATCTGTAAACAAACTGTGTTTAAATAAGGACAAACTTTTCCCACCCTCACCCCTCCAAATATATAATTTGTTTACACTCTTCAGAAGTTTTATTTTTCGAACATTATTAAAAATAAGTATTTTCATTTTTTTCAAAAACTATATTAACTATATTGAACTATACTTGTTTTTGGATAACAACAAAAATTGTTCGAAATTGAAAATGTTATACAATTTACAAAATCAACACTCAAAAATAAAACAACTTAGAAGAAAACAACTTGTTTGGGAAAATGCATTATTAAATAAAAATAGTTTTATTTGTTAAAAAGCATTTTTCTATAATATTTATATGATGTGAAGAAATTTGTAACTTAACAGGTAGAATAAATGCTCTGCAAGAATAAAAGCGATTTAGTCAAGATAACAGTTTTATATAAATTGTTTTAAAATTTATTGTATAGTTATATTTTTTAATATTCCGCATTATAATTCTAAAAACTAGGTTTACAAAGGAAAACTTATTCTATGAAATTGTCCAAGTTGTGAAAGTCGGTGTGTAAATCGTTTTTTATTGCTGAAGAAAGTTGAGTTTGCTGAAATAAAACACAACGAACTTCAATTTGTTTCTTCGAAAATCTTTATTGAGGACAATTGATTGTCGAAAAACCCAGAAAAAGTTCGAATTTTTTGTTCATTTTTTATTATTTTTTTAACAAAAAAATTATATTTTATTGCAAAAATACAAAAACTTAAAATCGAAACCATGCGAGTGCACCTTATTTTCACACTCCTTAGGAATGGATTCCTCATTCGTTCAGAACTGCATTTTGTGGCCAAACTGATAAACAACATATTAAGGTGCCACAAGTTGAAAAGTTGAGTGTTTCCACTCCCAGTCGTTTTTAGAGTCCCCGTCGAACAAGTGATATACATCTCGTTTTATTTTTTCACTCCCTTTTTTGAAAATTTTTACGAAAATTGAAGCAAAACATGAATAATGGTAAAGAAAATAATAATAAGACGAGTGTTTTGAATTAAAACGTTTGTAGTGGTAAAAAGACTTTGCATGTGTCCATCCAGGTTTTCAGTGTTTTATGTTCTGAAATCCTCAAAACTCATACTTTTGAAGCAAAATTGTTTTGTGTTGCATTTATTAATATAAAAAACGTGTAAATGGTAATGCAGCACTTCTATCCCCCGTGCAGATTAAAGTTAAAAAAGACAGGGAGGTTTTATCATGCAAGCCTGGAGTGCGTCAGCTATATCTTTTTGGTGATAATAAACAACATATTGGTGATGTTTTGTGTGTTTTGCTGAAAAGAGGTTAACGAATTAATTTTATGCCGTGAAAATAGACCACATTTTTTTCTATGTTTTTTGGTAAATCTTGGCGTTATGGAAAAGTTTTCGTCTAACAATTGCTTTGCTTTGGTATAAAATGTATGCATCAGTTTAAAGTTTTTGTATTTTTTCGTGTTTTTTACTTGAGGCAAAACAAAAACAAGGTTAAAACAATTAAATAAATTGCTTGTGACTGGTATTACAGCGCTTTTTTCCGCCGGGTAGATAAATCTGCCAAAACTGCATTTTGATAGTTTGGAGAGAAAAAACAGTAAAAACACATAGATAACGACCTTGTACGTCTTCTTTGGTTGTAATTGCTCAAGCAAAACTCGACTGAAAAAACATAGTGAAACAGTTTCAACATGACATCCTTTCAATTGGTGTGTATTGCTTAGTTCAATAAAAAAGATCAAAAAGAAATTAAAGGTGTTGGATTTAGTGTTGTCGAAACACTCCCCGAATATTCCAGGAAATTATTTGGGGAATTTTATTTTTTTTATCAAATTCCCGAACCGATTCCGGAATCAAAAAATATTCGGGAATATTTTTAACCTCGGTTCGGGAACATCCTGATTCCCAAACTTAAAATTGGTGTGTTCCCGAACCAATAAGTTCCCGAACACACAAGTTCCCGAACTTCATAAAAAAATATTCCCAAACTTTTGATTCCGGAACATGGCGGTTCCCGAACCGATTCCGGAATCACCAGTATTATATTAAAAATTTATTAATAAGCAAACTAAAAAAATAACAACTTTGTTTTAATATTAAAATAGTAAAAAAATTAAATTATTCAAAAAACAATTGAATAATATTTGTCCAATCATAAAAAACTTGTACAGTCACAAACCGTACTTAAATGTTTTTAATTATCGTTCATTTTAAAACGTTAAACAAATTTAATAATCATACACCAATAAGAATCAAATCAAAATAATAAAAATAATCAATTTTTAATTTACACATAACTTTTTCAAGCATCTGTTTTTTCTTGGCTATTATATTATGTTAATACAAATAAATACTCTGTTTGTTTTTTATATAATAATATTATAATAATCATTTCAAATAAATTGTTAATTTTTAAACCAAATTGGATTTTTATAATACCCATTTTGTTTTTAAAATTATTAATAATATCCAAAATGCAATTTATTGACATTGAATTAAACTATTCAATGATTTTTTAAACGTTGTCTGGTTGACTAAATTACATTTATAACGTTTAAACAAAATTTATGTAAAAAAATCAAAAACTTTAAATATAAATGAAACTTTAATATAATGGTATTTTTTAAAAAATATAAATTTTCAAATTTTAAAAAAAATAACAATCAAATATTAAATATGTACAACATTTTGTATGTTTACTTTATGTTTTTTCAATCTATAATAATAGAATGAATTTGTTTTCTATATATATTACACAATAAACGTTTTATCATTTTGTTGATTATCATAGTTTTTTAAAATTACAATTCCAATTACCCAAGTCTTTTTTTGATACCTAAAATGTTTATTTCTTTTGTTAATCCGTACGTTACAATACCACAATTTCTGCTATAATTATTTTAGAAACCAATGTTGATAATTATCAGTTTCATTTATTTATTCAATAAAACTAAAAATAAAAATAAAAATTTAAAAGTTTCATATAATAAAAATGATTTTTGATAATTGTTCATTAGAAATACACAAAAAAAATATGAATATTATTTGTAATATAATTTGTTTTTACTCATTTTAAAAATCTTTCGTTTTTATTTTAAAATAATTTATTGATATTTTTTCAATAACAATAAATTGTTCAAAAATTATCATTTTAAATTGAATAAATTTTAATAAATTGTTTATACTTCGATTGTTACACAAATCATTTTTAAACGTTGATATCAAAATTTGTCAGGTCGAATTGTTTAATCATTAAAATAGACATAGTGTTTAATAATTATATTTATTGTGTTTGTTTTAGATATTTTTATTTTATAAAGTAGAATTTTAAATAACAATTGAATTGTTTTATATTTTACAAAATAAGACTAACTTGATATTGATTAAGTTGTAAATTTTATAACAAATTTGAAAACAATAAAACTCAAATTCAATAAATTAACAACATAATTAAAATGTATGAACAAAAAAGACAGTATCAAAATACATAAAAAATGTGCGTTTTTTGATTTTGTAACTTGTATGTAATAAATTGATAAGTATACAACATATAAAGTTTGAAATCACATAGTGAACAACAGGAAATAAATTAAAAAGTTAACTTCGAAGTAATCACAAATTTTGGTTTATGATATGTAAAGACAAATATTTATCATCTTATTAATTGGGTGTGAGTTGTAATAGTAAGTGTTATTATTAAATGTTTGTAACTTTTTTGTTTTGTCTTTGGAATATAGATTAAAATTTTCTCAATTAATTACAATTTGTGTAACAAATATTTTTTGAGATATTTGCACATGATAAGTTACATTGTGTTAATATGTTTAATGTACTAATCGGTATATTATTTTT